TGTTGCCATAGTGTGTGACCAGGCGGCAAAAAATCAATCGGCCAAAAGCGAATTGCAGCCACAGACCAGGAAAATCTACATCAAAAACAACACAGAAACAGAAATTTTGGTTTTCAGTGTTTCAGTCAGCTCATGAGTCAGATAGGTACGCCAAATCATCTATGAATAGATTATAGACTATTTTATTCATTAAATGATTCTCACATAAATATATGAAAACAAAATGTATAAAATTTTAATTTGTGTTATGAAGTTTTGAAGCACTGCCTTATTTTGAAATAATTGAAATGTCAAACCAGTCATTTGAAACCGAGATTCAAACGGCCCGCCAAATATTAGTTGAATGACTACACCGCTATGGCAGCACCGTCGGCAATGTCACTTGGCGACTACACCCATAGAAAAGTGATTTATATTCTTAAATAGAACATTCACTGGATTCATCTCCTTCGCTTTTTGTTTAAGTTCGTGACTACACCGCTGTGCGCCCATATCGCCGTTTCTTAACGTCCCCCTCGTTTTTATTCCAATCTGTGACTTCACTGATGAGTTAGCTATCTTTGTTTAGTGAATAGAAATTGACAATAACCGACATAGAATGGTGGATATAAAAACCAGTTGAGTGCATCGTCGTTGAGTGTTGAGTTTGTTGTTTTGAATTGTAAATTTGTGAAAGAAGTGATAAGTGATAAGTGCATCACAAGCAGTCGGTTTAAGCAGTTATTGCCACAATATGTGACCAGGCGCAAAAAATTAATCGGCCATAAGCGAATTGCAGCGACAGACCATAGAAATCAACATCAAAAACAACACAGAAACAGAAATGTTGGTTGGTTTAATAAACAACATAGAAATCGTAATCGTGCCACACGTGCTCAAGGAAATAAGAAATAACTTGATCAAATATGACGGCCATTCAAATGGGAAAATGGACATTTTCAAAAAGCAGATTGGAAATAGTCTTTCAGTCAGCTCCATGAGTCAGACACGGCAGATCATCTAGATTATAGACTATTTTATCCATTGTAATTCTCACATAAACATATGAAAATAAAATTAATAAAATTTTAGTTTGAAGTTTATTCGGAGCACTGCTTTATTTTGAAAAAATTGAAATGTCAAACCAGTCATTTAAAAGAGATTCAAATGGCCCGCCAAATATTAGTTCAATGACTACACCGCTATGGCAGCACCGTCGGAAATGTCACTTGAAAACAGAAGTGAACGTTCTATATCTATATATATAAACGTGAAATTCATTCACTCACTGACTGACTGACTGATTAAACACGAAATCTCGAAAACTACTAAACCAATCGATATGAAATTTTGCAAACAGGTAGGTAATACGTTGGAGATGATCACTAAGAAATAATATCAACATGGCCTTAAGCAATCGCCTTAAATAACCAAAAATAAGAAACGGTGTGGTCCGGGCGGAAGTGCGGGGAAAAAAGTGTAACAGAAACAGACGACGTGTCAGCTGTCATTCAGAAATATGACAAGCAGAATCAAATTCATAGCGATTTCCATTTGCAGAATCAGTGTAAAAAAAAATGTGTTTTTGTCGTTATATTTTCAGGTTTTCACCAGAAACGATTCGGAACCGATTCTGAACAAATTCCACCGGTCCCAGGCTAAGCTAACTTCAAGTTTGAGACATGACATTCGCAATTCGTTCACGTATTCGACAGTCTGGAGCAATATTCTGGAGTTTTTGTTCGGTTCCAAAACTGTTCGCGATAAAATAGGAACCCATTCACAAGTTGGGTTCGGGTTACTCCGATCGCACTCCAGCCGTTATCTGATAAAGGTAATACCCGAACGGCTGAAGTGCGAACGGAATCACTCGGAGTGAGCAAGCCGAACCCAGCTATAACTGGGCATGCGCTCTACGATAGTCCTCAATTAGTTCCGGACTGGTTCGGAATCGGTTCAAAATATGATCCGCGAACAAAGCTATTAGCAGCGAGTGGCACTTCAAAAAAATTTAATGTAAGCTGTCAAAAAATAGTCTTCATAAGTTGTATTCCTTTCACACCTAGGAGGAGCTCCGGAACAGCTCCGGGGCTTCACGCGCTTATTCCTTTCGAAAAGTGTTTGTTGCACCAAAGGTTGCACTACGCATCTGTTCCTTGCAAATCGGGAACGACTGAATACCGGAGCGAGTCGAGCTACTCGCTCCGGTGCTTCAAACTCTTGAAAGGAATACAACTATATTCTGCAGCCACAAGGCAGCACAAAAAAATGTGGTGTACAGAGAGGTGCTGCAAAAATAAGAGTTACATGACCATATGTCTGACGCAACTATCCCCTAATTTAAGCTCTTTGAAAGAAGATTACCTAATGCTACCCTACACCTACAAAATTTGTATAGGGCGTGCGAAGCCGCGGGCAACAGCTAGTCAACAATATAAATCACTTTTCTATGACTACACCTGTTTCCAAGGCATTGCTTATGCCATTGTGTATTGTGTACCAGAGCTGGGCAGTAATTGCCTTGAAAGTGCTTGAAAAAGTGCTTCAAGCACAATAGTGCTTCGAGCACAATGCTTGCAAGCACTTTTAAAATACAGTGCCATAGTACAGTGCTCGGTAATTGGTAATCGAAGCCCTCTATAAAAAGTGCTTGGTAATTGGTAATTAATTTTCGCATTTCAAGCCATTTAAAGTGCTTGCAAGCACTTAAAAGGCTTGCAAGCACTCTAAAGGATTGCAAGAGTTGCAAGCACTAAAAATCAAGTCCTTGGCAACAACTTGACGCAGCATAAGCATTAATGTGATTAGCTGGTTGAGGACCGTCTCGGCGTCGGCAATATGGAAACATTTATGTTGTGTTAAGGTGGTTTCCCACAGCCTGTGATATCGCAAGTCGGGCTAAGACGCCTGTCCTATGAAGCGTTGGCGCGTGTAAGCGCGGCCCGGCTTGCGATATCACGGGCCGTCGGAAGCCAGCTTTATAGTTGAGTCTCGCACCTCGCTGGCAAAGGCAATATGCAATATACAACACTATTCACTAACACTATACACTATACTACCACAGTTTATTAGTCTTTATCTTTAGTTATAATAATGTTAATATTCGATGATACAGTTTAGTGAAGTGTATGTAGAGTGAAGAGACGAAGACTAGCTATAAATTAAGAACAAAAAATTTTGGTTTGATCATTTGATTATAACTATGTATCATCATATCAACATCAACCAAAAACGTTAGAACAAAACTTATAACGTTCCAAATTGCTTTCTCCCCAGACCCCAATTCAGCAACATCTTTATTTTAAAAATAAATTGGAAGCATTTGGCTAAGTAGTGCTTGGTAATTGGTAATTCATTTGAGAAAAAAGTGCTTGCAAGCACCTGCAAGTAATCAACAATGATTTCAAGCACTTTTTGAGTAATTGGTGCTTGGTAATTGTTGGCGTAATGGTTGATATTTTAGAATCACCTTACGTGGACTGTAAGCGCAACTAATGAATATGTAGCAAAAAATAACAATGCAAAAGACAATATGATAAAAGGCGCCTTACCTGTGGTTCTGGGGTTCTTCTAGTTCAAAGTTAATTGTTAATACCGGGATCCCGGGTTTTGTTTCGGTTGCACAACACTACCGGCTTTTATTTCGAAACCGGTAACCGGCGAGCTCGCGATATTCATCGACTTTCTTGTGTGCGAAAACGGATTAAAAAATGTGTGTTCGTGTGTCGTGTTTGGCGAAAAGAGAGAGAGTGTGTTTCGCCGTCGCTTGGCTGTACGAATCGAGTGTTTTTTCGTACCTTTTTTGTCGACCTCGGTTCCATACCGAGGGCGCTGGTGTTCCTTGCAATAGAGGCGCTATACCTATTTGAATTTGTATGGTTTTTCAATATGAGCAAAATTCGTGACTTTGACACTCTTGAAGAGATGCACATACAGTAATTGAATTGTGCAATTACTTTCCTTGGTAATTGGTAATTGCAAGCACTAAGAATTTTCAAAGTGCTTGGTGCTTGATGCTGGCAATTCCTTTTCTTAAGGGCTTGGTGCTTAATTGGTGCTCCAAGCACTTTTCTCGAGTGCTTTGCCCAGCTCTGTTGTGTACCTACCTATCTAAAGAATAACAAATATTTTATTTGTTTCTTCGGAAACCAAAATAAATAAGTAAACATTGTTCCACGAGGATTCATACTTTTTGCCTTCTTTTTTAATAAATAGAAATTGACTGAACAAATCAATGACGTCAAAAACGTTCGTTGGTTCTTAAACCAGAAGTCCTTCAGAAGTCATTCATTTTAATTTGTCAAAAAAATTGAATGTGTCATATGAATTAATCTACGACATCCCTTTTTTTTTAAGTTATGGCGTGTTCGATGTCAAAAGTATGAACCCTGTGGTGAAATAATCTATAGGTACCTAGGTACCCAAACAATTAGGTACAATAATTCATCATTACCATTATCTTTTAAATATCAAATCCTTAGTCTATGATTCTTGGGTAAATAAAAAATGATAAAATAGTAGAAAATTTACTGATACTAGATTTAATAATAATACTGAAAGTACCCAAATAAGATACTTACCCAATAAAAGTATCGGGTATTGATATTAGAAGTATCGAATCGATGCAGGTATTCAAAAGTATCGAAACTTTGCATCACTACTATTATGAATAATAATGTAAGTGTAAGGCCATACAGAACGCATTCAGAGCGGCATAAACGCGCTTGGCGACTAAAGTGTTAGAAACGTCTTTTGCGACTAGAATTAAAATAATGTAATATAATATAGCGAGTGGCCCGACAAGACGTTTCTTGCATTTTGCGCTTCTTAAACTAACCCAAACTAACCCCTACACTTTGTTTTTCTGTTTACCTTGATATCTTTAAAAACAAAAAAGTAACAGGTGATCAAAATGATATCAAAGATAAAAAACACCCGGTACATTAAAAACTTTCCATGGATGTACGTATTTTTTATTTTTAAACAATCGCATAAAACTCGTTTTTTTTTTTTGTTTTTAGAATATCGTGAAAATAGCAAAGATATTTTGGAACTATGTTTAATTTACAACCCAAACGACTCGGATGATAAGATTATGCGACAAGTGGCTTTCTTTGCTTCAGCTGTAAGTAATTTATCATCAGCAATGAAATAAATACCTTGGTATAGTAGCTTGTATAGTTAATGTTGTTGAAAAGTTATTAGTTTTGATAGTCAGGGTTGTCTGAAAAATCGTAATTTCAAATTTCGCATTTGTGATACAACAAATATACAATTTCAGGGCAGCGATACCACAGGATATGCGCTCACCTTCACTTTTGTATTATTGGGAATGCATCAAGAAATACAGGTCAGCATGTTGTCTTGCTTCAATTTAGTTATTCTTATATTTTAAAGAATTTTTAGGAAAAAGTTTACAAGGAAGTAATGGAAGTAGTGGGCGATAAAGATATAACGCATCAAGACTTGCCGAATTTGAAATACACCGAAGCCACAATTTGCGAAACATTGAGATTATTTCCAGTAGTGCCGGTCATAGGCAGAAGCTGTGACGAAGACATCGATTTAGGCAAGCTTGTTCTATTTTAATATATTTTTATCATGAGTGATGGACCTTTCAAATTTCGAATAATATCGTACGTTTTTGAGATCAATTTTTTTTTGTACAGGGTTATTGGTTATAAATGTCACCCCCCTCTATCTTTTTTATTTGACATTTTAGAAAAAAGCGTCCCAAATAAAAGTTTTATGGTTGAGACTAAATTTTTTGAAAAACTCACTTTAACTCACTTTTGCATATACAGGGTGTTTCAAAAAAGCTGGTCGTGCTCTAACTTTCTTATTTTAAATTGAATACCCTGTATATTATTCAAGATTCGGATTCTACGTAAATTCTGAGCAGATTTCATGTGATATACTCTATACCTAAGTTCAACTGTTTGGAAATATTGACAGTTGAAAATTTACTTTTTTGCAAATTTGACAGGCTGTAAAACCTAAACGGTTAACTTTTGAGCAAAACCGATCTTACATTTTTTTCTAAGATTTTCACAAGTTATCATTTGACACCAACTTTGAATTTAACCGAAGATTAAATTCAATTGGAATTTTCAATCATGGATTAAATTCAAAGTTGATGTCAAATACTGGTGTCAACTGATAGTTTATAAAAATCTAAGATAAAAATGTAAGATCGGTTTTGCTTTAAAATTAACCGTTTAGGATTTACAGCCTGTCAAAGTTGCAAAAAAGTCAATTTTCAACTGTCAATATTTCGAAAACAATTGAACTTAGGAATAGGGTATATCACATGAAATCTTCTCAGAATTTTACGTAGAATCCGAATATCCAATAATATACAGGGTATTCTATTTGAAATAAGAAAGTTAGAGCACGACCAGCATTTCTGAAACACCCTGTATATGCGAAAGTGAGTTTTTTAAAAAATTTAGTCTCAACCATAAAACTTTTCTTTGAGACACTTTTTTCTAAAACGTCAAATAAAAAAGAAAGAGGGGGGTGACATTTATAACCAGTAACCCTGTACATTTGAATTAATTTTTTTTTCTTACTTTGAAAAATTAGAACGTAGGCAAATTCAATTGTACTGAACTTAAAATAATTGAGTGAAATAAAAGTCAAAAGTCATATTGGATATCGACTATGTGCCACAAACTCTTTTTATGGTAAGAGAAATGAGACATTTCATCAGAGGGAAATTTCCAATGGGTCTACTCTGCTTGAACAGTAAAACAATTTACCATTTCTCCTTTATGTATTATGTATCTTATTATCGCCCTACTTAAATTTATTATTCCATGTTTCCAGGTACAAAAATAATTCCAAAAGGCTCCTCCTGTATATTCAGCATCTTACATTTGCACAGAGACCCGCAATACTGGCCAGATCCATTAAAATTCGATCCATCTAGATTTTTGCCAGAAAACCAATCAAAAATTAATCCATCTTCTTTTATGCCGTTTTCAGCTGGACCCAGAGATTGTATAGGTAATTTTGTTAGATTGTTTTGAGAAACTTGACAACGTCGGCGTTTTTTTTAGGGAAAGCCCAGGCATTGGTAAATCTGAAAGTGACCATAGCCAACGTTGCCAGACACTTCAAAATAACATCGAATCATCGAAGTATTCAAGAATTCTCTTTGCAATCCTGCCTGACCATGAAAACAAGAGAAAGTCCTCATTGCTGTTTTTCTGCTAGAAAAAAGTAATAGAATATTTTTATTATTATTATTTCCGAACACACATGAATGGACATTCCCAATGCTTCAATTTTCTATTTTATAACGAAAACATGCAATGTAAGGCATTCCCTTTACTGTAGCAAGCGTACTGTAAAATCAGTCTTATTATAATACGCCTATAGGCTTTCTCAATACGAATAGGCATATTCGTATTATAATACCTACTTCTCAAGTAATTATAGGAATATTATAATATAATAATCAAACAACCAATAAACGATCAAAAAATTTGTTTTATTTCAGGGTAACAAATATCTAATAGAGTAAATTTATTATTAGTTAAATTTCCATATCAAAATATGTAACACCTCTGTACCTTAAGGTATTATTTTTCTTTAATATATTTAATTAAGAATTACTTTTAGCCCAAGAAATTTATGTGTTTTTCAAAAAAATTTGCGAGGGCAGGCTGATTTTTTCAAGGCTGATTGGAGACTGTGTCCTGAGTATTGAGCCAAAAAATCACACTCGAAAGCCTTGTGCGTTCGGCCCTATTGGCCTTTTTCTTATTTATTTTTTTTCGACAAAATTACCTTAACAAAACTTGTAGATAATAACATTCTGATCCACTTTGCCTCATGCCTTCTTTTGCTAGCTATTTTAGTTTAGGCGTTGCGGCCATTTTAGTGCTCCAGAATTCGCATTAAAATTAAATAGCAAACCTGCAGATTATTGCAACTTTAATAAAATTAATTAGGTAACGGCCCAATTAAGGACCGATTGAGAAGTGTTTTATCTCTGCAAGACCATCCGTGGACGCGTTTCGCTGTATCACAGCTCATCAGCACAATTTAGGTCCCGCAGAGAGAAAACACAACCCATTTTTGGTTCCATCCCGGAACTGGGTTTAATACAAGTAAAATGAAGACAGGGTCTCCATCTATTTTCTGATCGGCACACTAAAAATTGCTACTAACAACAAAAAGGTTGTTAGTAGCAATTTTTAGTGTGCCGATCAGAAAATAGATGGAGACCCTGTCTTCATTTTACTTTAATAAAATTACTGGTAATGTACTAAATTACGTTTTCGGTTTCAGTCCAAGAAATGATACATTACATTACTAATCCAGTGAAATTATTTTCCCGGAGTGAAAGCGTGAAATCGAAATGATGTTTTTTTTGACAATACTGGGACCTGTTAGGTACCTGTTTGAAAAGTGACAAAATGTTTTTTGAAGTGAATACTTCTTTGGCCGCATGAGAGTGATTTTTCCAAGTCGCGTCACGACACAATTTATAAAATTTTCGTCTCGCAAGTGAGATGAAGCATATGATGAATATGAGGGAGAGAGAAAGAGATGGTGAATGAAAGAGAGTATTTTTCTTAACGCATCAATGTAATCTGTACAATACATCTCTCTCTCTCTCTCTCTCTGTTGCACGCTTGCTTTTACTACTGGTTTCTTTGAACCTGAACAATTTTTTATCAAATGCGATTCTAAAAAAAATCAAGTGTGCATTTGCCAATATCAACAATATCTTTCGATCGGCAAAGTACCACTTTGCGCTCTTAATACACAAATAGCTATTGTGCAACCGTTCGCGAAATTCAATTTCGCAAAACACCACATTTTACCTGCAAAATGTGTCAAATCCTTAGAAACGCTATGCATGCCACAATGTCCACCAGGTCAAATAAAATTTTTCAAATGCCTAAAAGGCCGTACAAGCAAAAGAAATAAAGTTTCAATAAAACATCATCAAGCAAAGTAATAGAGAATTTTATTAGGTACCTATAATAATCTGCAGGTTTGCTATTAAATTTTTTTGCGAAGCACTAAAATGGTCATAGCGCCTAAAGTAAAATAGCTAGCAAAAAAAGTCATGAGACAAAGTTGATCAGAATGTAATTATCTACAAGTTTTGTAGAGGTCATTTTGTCGAAAAAAAATAAATAAGAAAAAGGCCAATAGGGCCGAACGCACAAGGCTTTCGAGTGTGATTTTCTGGCTCAATACTCAGGACACACTCCCCAATCAGCCCTGGAAAAATCAGCCTACCCTCGCAAAATTTTTTGCGGCCCAGGTATAAATTTCTTGGGCTATTTTGACAGACGATTAAATAAATTATTATGTTTTATATGCAGGCATAACAGATTTCTTCTAGGGTTTGAAGATGTCTGCAAAACTTAACAAATATCTATAGTAAATGAAAAGAGAGGCCTTCAGTTTGCATATTATATTTTTTGGCGAGAAAGATTATTTTCACAAATGGTTTTTTTTTAACATACTTTAATACAAATAGGACTTTGACAAAGGGCCTAGTACTTTCACAATCAGTTAGTAAGAATTTTCATAATTATATGAAATACATACTCAGTGGAGAACTGAAAAGAAAACATATAAATCTAACTCTCAATTGGTTATCAATAAATAATTCCCATGCCTATTTGTCGGAAAATAAATTCTTGAGCATTTATTATTGACCAAGTTCTCGTGTTAACTTACTTTTATACACGAATTATGGAGGGGAAGAAAATTTAAAAAAAAAGGAAAGGAGAAGAGCACCAAGAAGAAAAAATCATTATCATTAAAAGGAAGTTAAAGGAAGAAGAAAAAGAAGAAAGAAACAAGTATAGTTCTTCTAAGGTCAATTGAAACAAGGTGAACATAAATTATAACTGATATCTGACGTGTTAGTATTCCTACTGGAAATATTGAGTGACTAGTCACCCACCAGTTGGTACCTTGTTTCGTTTGAGTCTGGAAATACTATACCTACCAGCCCTTAAAGTGTGCATAGTGTTTTTTATAAAGATATAGGAGGTAGATGATAAGCCATCCAAAAATCTTATACCAAAAATAGTATTCGCTATAATAATATCTAATAGAGGGTACAAGAGAATTTTCAACGACCTTATTTTGGCAAATCTGTTCACCGAAATATTTGATTCAACAACTCATATTTTCACTTTTTATACAGACCCAATTTCACAGCCACCTCTTTGTTTTGCCTGGAATTCATAGAAATCGGAAATGGATTAAACATCACTCGATCGGGAGATTTATTAGTGGGACTTCTACTATTATCATTAGACAAGTCATTTGCGGATGTTGTAACTGAAATTGATTCAGGTTTATCATCACTATCTGACTTTACTGGGCTATTTCGAGGAGATGATAAGCTAGATGAATCAATTACAACCTTATCACAGTCATCATCAGTGATTATTTGGAAACTTATTGCTTGTAAATCGGTTAAAGAAGATGAAACATCGTCTGAAAAATTTTGAATGTCGATTGAATCAGATTTATTTGAAATACTTTCGAGCAAACAGACATTTTCCTGAAACAATTTCCTAGACAAACTAGTCCTTTCTTCTTTAATTTTATTGGCCGAATAGGTTTTTAACAAGTATAAGTTCTCCTGAATCAACTGATTTGATTTATTGTCTTTGTCCAAAGTCAAGGGTTCTTCAGACTTACTTTCATGTAGACCACCTAGAGTGGGTGTCAGTTTGTCTTTGTTCAACATAAAGTTGTATTTTTCGTCTAAACTTTTGCTTTTTTCCAATAGACTGCGCAAACGAGACGAGTATTGATTGTTGTCTGGTAATGAATCATCTAATTTTATGTCATCGTTTTTAATTAACAAATCGAAATTATATTTGATTGGATGACTATCAGCTAATGAGTCGAACTCGTTTTTGATTGATTGAATTTTTAGGTCAGAATTTAATTGTGTTTCTGGGTCAGAATTGTCTTTGATTGGCAAAAGAGGTGAAATTAGGTCAAGATCAGTCAATTTTTGATCAAAATCAACTAACTCAGAATTATCATCCAATAATGGCGACTCAGAATCATTTTTGATTATTTCAATTTTTGATTCAAAAGACAATTTCATTTCTTTGATTTCCTGTGTTTCAATTGACACAAAATCGTTTTCGATCCACGATTTCACATGAGAATCGTCGATTGTGATTTTTGGCTCAGTAAATATTTTAATTGATTGCTCGTCATTCCAATCTAAATCGGTTTTGTTCTCATTTGGCAATTTTTGGTCCGAATCTTCTTTGATCAATGGATCAAAATCGATCAATTGCGTTTTCGAGTCAGAATAATCTGTGATTGATATTTTTGAGTCAAAATCGTTCTCAACCAAAAACGAAGATAAATCAAAATTATTTGTCGCTTCACCCTCAAAATCGTCTTCATTTGATTGCTTTTCACTCAATACAGAATTATCGTCGTCTTTTGATCTTAATAATGGAGGAGAAGGTGACAATCTAGACTGACACTGCATAATTCTATGCAAAATTAATGAGTTCTCTTGAATGATTTGTAAAGCCAATTCACTGTTACGTCTAGTTGTTTGGTCACCTTTCAATCGGTCGGCCAAAAATCGCTCAAACTCAGCACTTTCGTCACCTTCTTCAGAATCAGAGGGTATTTTATTTGGACTAGAAGAGGCAATTAGACTATCTTTAGATTTCGAGCGATCAGCTAAAAACAACTCGAACTCGGCACTTTGGTCGCCCTCTTCACAGTCGGACGGGATTTTTAAATCAGGAGTAATTTGAATTAAATTATCAGCGATAGTATTAGGTTTGGAATTGTCCAATTGACTTGCTTCAGTCTTTTTTTCTTCTACGTCTTCTTCGGAACTTGGTACGTCATCTTCGTCGCAGAGCTCTGTATCGCTGGAACTGGAGGAGCTGCAGCAGGCGGCTGCGGTGGGCGGTTGGGTGGCGTCTTTCCAGTGCAAAGTGCTCGGATGATGTTGGCGGGCGGGCGGTATGCTGCCTTTTGGCGGTCCGGGCCGTTTGGATGGACCTGGAATATAACAAATTTGATTTTGAGTCTTATAAGTTTAAGGTTTGGTAGCTATCAGTCATTTTATATTAGAGCCCAGATATTTTATATAATTTGAGGCACTCATATTCATAATCTTTAGGCTTTATTGTCCAAAAAATAAAAAAATTATTGACAAAGCTAATTAAACCTACTACTATTCTAAATTGATTAGTAAATATTACAAAATCCACGCAAACTCATTGGAAAATTTTGAAATTAACATAAGGGTCAAAAAAAATTTCCTCTTCTTTCTAGGAAGCGGTCCTAATGGATTAATTACAATCAAAAAACATCTGAACATTATTTATGACAGACACGAGTTTACGGCATCCTTTGATAGATGCGGCTTCACATTTGTATGACGGCCGTTGACCCCAATAATCAAGGAAATTACGATATCTTCCGCTGAGTAAATAATTATTTCTTAGAAATAGCGGAAACCGAGTTTATGTCAACATATCCAAAATCACTCGAATTTATGGTGGGACCTGGGACCAGAAGTATTTAATAAAATAATCAAGTAGAAAGGACAGGGACAAGATATAGTCTAATATTCGCGAAAAGTTTTTTCAGTTTGGAACGCCTCGGATATCAATTCTTGTACAGGGTATTTGATTATATTTAGCACCATACCTACAGCCTTTACTATTTAAGATAGAAAAAAATTTTAAATACAAAACTTGACAGTTTTTTTCTATATTTTCTGATAACGTTTTCAGAAAAAACAAAATCGCATCGGAAAATGGAGAAACGTAAGCAACTTCGACTTTTTTAAATGGAACACCCTGTATATTATGCGATAAAATGAAAGATCTATTCTTTCTGATTCCAAATATACAGAGTGGTCCATTGAAAAGTATCCACCTAGATTTACCGGTTTTTGTGAAATTTAAGAAAAAAATGCTCGGACACATGTATTTTGTTTCGGAGGGGGAAATATTCTCTGCATATTTTTAGCCCTGTCACTTTCAACCCCTAACGGGGGTGGGCTCCAACCCCTTAATCTTTAATGGAAAGATGGGTCGAGTGATAGCTCGTTTGAAAGGGCACGAAATTAGCTTTCCAATGGTACCCTGTTTGTCGGATTTTCCTTCGACAGTTAACGCGAAAACGACGCTAAGAGCCTCACTCCTGTATTTTTGGAATCAATAAAATGAAGGACTTAAATTTCAGTTATCGCGATTCAAAAGAGCTACAATCATAATTCAAATTACTTATTTAAGTAAAAACTCATTGTTTCAACGCCAAAAAATATCCGCCCTATTTTAATACAAAAAGCCAAACACGACAAAATAGGTAAATGTTTTGTTATCTTTTATCAGAATAAAATGCATTCATTTATTGTGTGCGTTTTTTTTTGTAAAAATAAGTAAGCAGATACACACTTGGTAAATGAAGGAAGAGAATTTAGGTTTATTCCGTTCATTGATTTAGTTTGGTTGATTTCGAGACGATCTAAATTTTACTGACAAAAATGATTCATTCCATTGCAGAACGAGTAGAAATTATCAAGCTTTATTTTCAAAATAATAGTTGTGCTAGGCTTACTGCTCGTTTATTTAATGACGCTCATCCCAACGAAAATGTCAATCATTCGTATGTGGCGAAATTAGTGCAAAAGTTTACCGATACTGGATCTGTTGCTAATGTGAAACACCAGCCGCAACACAACAGAAATGAAGCTGTGGAAGAAGCTGTTTTGGGACATGTGGCATTGGATCATACCCAAAGTACCCGTCAACTGGCTCAAGTCTCAGGTGTCCCCCGTTCGTCCCTATTAAGGATTTTAAAAGTGCACAAATTTCATCCATACAAAACTAGATTAGTACAGGAACTTAATGAGGATGATCCTGATAGAAGGATGCAGTTTTGTGAAGAAATGAGTCAGCGTTTAATGCAAGAACCGGACTTATTATTTAACATTTGCTTCTCTGATGAGTGTACATTTTATTTAAATGGTACATTCAATAGACATAATTGCCGTTACTGGGATGATAGTAACCCACATTTATTCCGTGAGGCCCATACCCAACACCCTGAAAAAATAAACGTGTGGTGTGGCATCTTAGGAAATCATATTGTAGGACCACTTTTTATCCCTGGTAATTTAACTGGCGAAGTGTACCTAAACATGCTTGAGGATGCAATTGACCATTTGATAACAGAAATAATAGAAGATGACCTAAATCATAATGTTGATCGGCTTCATTTCCAACAAGATGGAGCGCCTCCGCATTACGTTGCTGCTGTTAGAGATTTTTTAAATTTACGTTTCCCTGGACGGTGGATTGGAAGAAGAGGCGCAATTGAATGGCCTGCCAGGTCACCCGATTTATCGCCTTTAGACTATTTTTTGTGGGGACACTTGAAAAATAAATGTTTTGCCACGCAACCCGATTCTATAGAAGATCTTCGCCAGCGAATAATAGCTGAGTGCCAGGGCCGCAACTAGGGGGTGGCGAACTAGGCGCCCGCCTAGGGCGCCGGAGTAACGGGGCGCCGAAGGCGCCTAATTTAATCCATCCATATTTTACAATCCAAAAAAATGCAACGGTTTTACGCGTCATTTGTCGTAAAATAAATTTATTTTGGTTGTTACGTCTCTTTTTGTCAACCATCAACAATACGAATATCGATAGTAATTATATAAATTATGTCAAACACAGTGCGCGTGCAAATGGCACCAGCAAATCGCAATGTCTGCGATAAATTCAAGTATTGATGACGTAGCGCCCAACATTATTCCTTCCAGAGCTTAGCTTCGAGTCGAGCTTTGATCCGACCAAACTGAGCAAGAGCACTGTGGGCGACGTGGGCGCCCTCTGCATGCTGCATGCATTATCTCTTTTGACTCTTTTCTCTTTAGCCGTTTACGGAAACTATAATCGGGTTGACCCGATCAGCAGCTGAATGTTTTCTATCTTTCCTTAATGAATACAATTGAAAAAAGACAAAATAGCTACGTCTGCTGGCGATCGGGTTAACCGATCATAGTTTCCGTAAACAGCTTTTACTTCTATAATAGCTTCGTTCGCGGTAAGTCTGAACTGTTTGAAGTCGAGTTTCGATGAAAACGGTCCTGTAAACTTGGTTTCGGCTCCCCCTCTGGCAAGGAGATCCGCCATTTCGTTGCCCTCAAGGCCAGCGTGTTCCGGTATCCACATAAGGGGTTACCTTGTTCTCCTTCCCTACTAATTTGCTTAGAGCTTTCTGTGTGAAATGTAGGCGTGACAGTGGCAGTACTAGTATTGGAGCCAAACATAGAGGGCGAGGAAGTATTGGGTTTATTTGATGCGGTACTCTGTCCACCAAAAGTTCCACCAAAATTTATCGAAGGTGTCGTCGTTGTTGCTGCTGGCGCACCAAAATTTATCATCGGTGTAGTGCTAGTAGTAGTTGTGCTAGCGATACCAAAAAATGGCACTGTGCTTGGAGTGGTTGTAATGTTGAAACTAGGAGTCTTTTTAAGTGCAGCATTGGAACCAAAATTAATCGTTGGAGATTTAGCCAATGAATTTTCAGAAGAAAAGGTGGGTTCCGTTTTCGAAGTGGTTGAAGCAGCTGTTGTTGTGTTGGAACTTGATCCAAAAACTATTACAGAACTTTCTGAGGGCTTATTAAAATTCAATGTATTTGCAGATGTGGCAGCAGGAAAACCTATAGAGGGTAAAGTAGTTTTTGTAGCAGGAGATGTGGTACTGGCAGGTGCGTTAAGGTCAAATTTGAAGCATCCAAGTTTTTGAGGGCTAGTTTCCAAAGGTTTACCTAAACCAAACGAAGGCTTACTTGTGTCAGTTTTATCTGTAGAAGTTGGATTAGCAAATGAAAAGGTTGGGGTGGTTGAAACAACAGGTGTTGTCTGGATAATAGAAGCTTTACTAACAGATTCTGATACTATATGAGCTGAGGTTTGTGTCAAAGAGGGCTGATTGATCGATGGTGCTGCTGCTGTGGTTTCATTAAAGTGTACATGTTTTTCAGTAGGTTTATGTGTACTCGATTTTGGAGATGATAAAATTGAAGTTAGGGATGATTGGACTTCTGTTTGCTCTTTTGTAACTGTCGCTGGTTTTTCAGGCTCAGAAACATTGACTGAAATATTTTTCTTAAACTCAGAGCTCATTAGAGACAACAATCTTTTTCCTCTATAATTATTACCTATTATATTTAGTGCGGCAACATTTGGCAATACCACCTCTGTTTTTGGTACCGCACCGGTAGCTTCAGCTCCAGTTTTCGGCAGTGGTACCACAACGACAACTTCCCCGCCAACGTTTGGCAATACAACTTCTTCAGTTTTTGGCACTCCAGCTACCACGGCTTCAGTTTTTGGTGCCACTAGTTTTCCTGCCCCTCCAACTTTTGGCAGTACCACTTCAGTTTTTGGAAACACCCCAGCAACTCCAATGTTTGGCAGTACTACTACAACTACTTCTGCTTCGATGTTCGGAAGCACTACCACTACAACGGCGCCTTCACCACAATGTCACAACCTGTTTTGTCGTGACTGGGGACTTTGGATCTAGTCCAAGATGAAAACCAAATGTAAAATAACAATGCCTATTTATTACTCACAAAATAAAATAAATAATAATAAAATAAGGGAAAGTATCATGAATAATTTTATTGATTTAAAATGATGAGTTTACAAATTGACAAAGACAAATGACTTACTACTGGAAATCCATCTTTCTGTAACGTTATAACTTTAACTTTTTTCGCGCCCGATAACCTGGCTCAAGCTTTGTTATCTGCTTCAGCTTTAAGACCCAACTGACTAGGAAAATCGAACCATTGATCCGAGTCGATTTTCTATTGTCAGCAAGAAATTATTTATTTCTCAAACTTGGGTCGTTGCACCAAGTTTTTTGCTGATATGCTATAAGTCTACTTATTCATTGCAATGCCAGTATTGCTCAATATTGGTAATAATCGCACATTTTATTGGTATGTTCACTCTCTACCCGCAAAATTTCAAA